TTTAATATGATAAATTTTCCTGTAATCTAAGAAATAAAATCTATTTTGATATTTAATGGAAAAGTATTTATGTAGTAACTATAACTATATTAAAAAAGGAAAAAAAGTACTTCGCCTTAATTAACATTTATCGCACTTAAAGGCAAAGATAAAGGAAAATGAAACAAATAAGTAAGCAATTAAAAAGAATTTAATAAAATATGAAAGCGATACATTCGTTGTTTAACTAATAATTAGATTAATTACTGTAGTGAAGAGTTATATGCATTAGGGAAATGGGTTGTAATTTTCCCAGGTAATAAAAAACATCTGTCACTTTTTCGCATACTATGAGACTAATACTTCATTGTGCTTTTAACGCATTTATCGAAGAATTGGGGTTTGTGAAGGTTATGAGTAAGAAATGTACGTAATCTTCAGTGAAAAAACACTATATTAACTATAGGGTATGTACTGTAAAGTGATGAAAACAACTTAAAGTAACTACTAACAAATAAAAAAGAAACAAAAATTGTATGATAAAAAAAAGAATTTTGCGGTTAATAGCGCATTATTTTTTCATGACATTTTGGGAGTCCTTCATCCATATTTTAAACAAAATTTGATTGCTAAAATTTGCTTTTAAGTCACTCTATAATGTTTTAAAATCTAAATTAAGATCATTGCAAAAGTAAGACATTTTATTGCTTGTTATTGAAGTTATAGCAAAGTTGATGTGTAATTACTTTTAGTTTAACTTTCTAATATTGCTGAAAAATATATCTACATTTTATTCACAGTATTTAAAAATTTTATTATAATAAACGAAATAAACATATTTCATAATTTGAAAATTTTGAAATAAATTCAAAAATATTTAAAAAAAATATAATTATTTTTTTCATGTTTAAATCAAGTATACTATAAAATATTAGTTTTCGTTAAGTTTTTAAAGTAAAGCATTTCTAAAATTGTGAAAAATATAAATAAACATAGGGAATTAGCACTGTATATATATTTTTCCTTCTTCTTGGACACTGCAGCCTATGACAGGCCAAGACTGTCCCAATAAGTTTTTGCCATCTTGATCTATTCTGTGCTATGGCCCTCCAGTTAGTTATTATCTTTAGGTCCCTCTCAACTACGTCTAGTCATCTAGTCGGTGGACGACCCCTTTTTCTTGTACCTTCTGGTTTAAAAAAAGCTACATTTTTGGCGGGGTTTTGGTCTTCAGATCTATGTAGGTGTCCCATCTATCGAGTCCGATTGGCCTTAATAACATAAACTATGTCTGGTTGTTTATACTTTTTATATAACTCATGATTGCAAAGGGTACGCCATTTGTTATTCTCATAGACTGCAAAAAAAAAAAAAATAATAATTCTTCTAATTATCCCTCTCTCAAAAATCAGCAATTTGTTCTCCTCTTTTTCATTAGGAGTCCAGCACTCACTACCATATAGGATCACAGGCCGTAAGAGTGTTTTGTATATGTTAATTTTTGTCTTTTGTTAAAGAAATATACTTTTTAGTTGGCTTTCTTAACCAAAGTAGCACTTGTTTGCCATTGCTAAACCGCTATCGATTATATTTCCCCCCACTTAATATTAATTAGTTTAACTTGAACTGATCTACTATATTGTAATTAATTTATTACGGATAAACTATCCGTAATAAATTAATAGCAATAAGCAGTCCTTCAACCATTCTTTCATTCTGATGAAATTATTTTTCTAAAAGTAGTCACATCATAATCATCATAGTTGTCCAGACAGCCCAATGTGGGCCAATGCCTTCATCTGAAGATTTCTTCATAACGACCACATAATAAAAATCGTAAATTATTATCAAGCGAGGCAAAAACGAAAGCGAAATTTAAATGCGATAAATCATAAATGAGGAAGGCAGATGTACAGAAAAGCAAAGCCTCTTTCAAAGCTGGGTGAAACTGGAAGGCGTATTTTATAATCGTCTTAAAACTCCTCGCATTTTTTACTACAATCAAATAAGCTTTGATATTTCGTACACCTGTCTTCCTCACCTCTGATTTGACAGATTTCGATTGCGTTTTTGTTCTTTCCTAGCTTAGATAAACAATTTGTGACCCGCAAAGAAAAAAAAATTGTCTTAATGTTTGATAAGGATTCTATAAATATACATTAAGGGAACTCATTACGAAACACCTTGCTTGTTAAAACACTGAAATAGAACAAGAAATGTTGTCTTAAATTATTTGTCATGAAAAAATTTCTTGTTTTTACACAAAATGCACAGCTACTTTATTTGATGCAGGATTATCATGCTTTAAATTAATTGGTAGTCATAATTTTTCCTTAATCACATTTGATTGCTTACTTCTAATCTAGTTTTTTTAGAAGTGAGTTTATATAATTCGGCACTATTAATTTATTTCAAAGGTTTTAAATTTTAATTTTTAGATTATTATTAATATATTTTGGATTGTTGAATACTATGCAAAAAATAAGAATTCTTCTCCAAAAATAATATAAAAGTAATTTTAAGAGAAGAATTCGGTACTGTTAAATTATTTCAAAGGTTTTAAATTTTAATTTTCAGATTATTATTAATATATTTTGGATTGTTGAATACTATGCAAAAAATAAGAATTCCTCTTCAAAAACAATATAAAAGTAATTATAAGAGAAGAATTCGGTACTATTAATTTATTTCAAAGGTTTTAAATTTTAATTTTTAGATTATTATTAATATATTTCGGATTTGCTGAATACTATGCAAAAAATAAGAATTCTTCTCCAAAAATAATATAAAAGTAATTACAAGAGAAGAATTTTCTAGGGAATACGTAAAAAAGAAGATGAAGAAATTAAGGAAAAAAAGTAAATTAATGTTTTCATTATTTAGCAATTACATGAATGATTTTCAATAGCGTTTTCTTGAATGCATGTTTAGAAAAGGAAAGACATTAAGACGATTTCCTACCTTTTCTATCCTAATTGCTTAAATTAACCGGTAGAAATTTATCTTAAAACACAAGCAACACGTTCCCCTATGAATATTTTTCTTCTTGTTTATTTGAAGAAAAAAAAATGTTTAGTTTGATGTTAAAGAAATTCTTGAAAATTGTGTTATACGTTTCTAAATGGTTATAACCAACACATTAGAAGCGTCAAAACAGGTGCAAGTTTATTCCCACGAAACTTGATTCTCATAAGGTTCATTAGGGGCAATATTTGCCTGGGGGGAAAAGTATTTTATTCTACTGAATTTAGAACGTGGGATATTTTTATATAATTGAATAATATGCTACAAATGACTACACTCAAAGATAGCTTATGATGTCAAATGACTGCTTATATATGCATTTTAGTAGCAAATGAATCAACTGTATATTAGTAAAGACTTAAATATCTTTCTATAGACATAAATTTTTATTAGTTCTCAGAGAATGAATTTATTTCATCGGTTTCTTAGTTTTATTGAGTAAAATTAGTGGGTCACCTATTGTAGAGCCTATTTTATCGTCATCTAAAGTATTATAAGCACAAGGAACCGTAGAATTATTTTGATAAATTGGGATTACTTAAAAATGTCTACAAAGGCATGCATAGATATGGATTTAATTGCGAAGTAGCGATGATATTTAGAAAGATGTAATAACTATGTTTTATTAAATAGCGAATAACTTGTAGCAAACATTTGCCAATACTTAAACCGAAATAATCAAGAATACTATGAAATATTAACTTAATTTATTCTTCAGTTATATGGATGGAGAAGTAATACAAGATTTATAAAACAAAATGCAGTAGTAAATTAGAAATTGTCAACTACCTGAAATATTGATACGTGTAATTGTAATTTTTAAGTAACTTTATCAGTGAAATATGATCAATTATTTTAAAAACAACATTAAATAAAATGTAAGGCACATAAAAAAAGGAATAATACTCAATAATAAGTTATAAGTAAGTATCTGTAACAGAAAACTTTTATTAAAAATGTATTGGTAATTAATATTTAAAATTGTTCATCATAATTTTCAATCCATTTTTTCATCTAAAATTACTTGAATGTTTAACAGTTCATATTTCATAATTAGTTTTATAGACACATTTTATTCTTTTATTTGTCACTAAAAGTTTAAAAACTTCTGTAATCTTCGAAATCTTTCTTTTCTTATAATATTTTAAAGTAAAACTTCGCATGAATTTTCTGTTAAAATCTTTTATTCATTTATTTAAATTTCCTTCCTTTCCTTTTTTAAATTTCTTTTTTCTTTTCTTTTTCTCAGGTATAAATTTTTAAGATTTTTTCTTTTAGTTTTTTTTTCTTCTTCTTTTTCTTCTCAGAAAAATTAGAATGTTTTTTGAAGTGTTGGTGTTAATATTTGGTGTTGTTGTTAATATTTTAAAAGCTAATGAATTCAGAAGTTGACGATCTGAAAATTCCTGTTAGAGAACTGTGGCTAAAACACTAATATCCGGTCATGAAGATAAACTGGTAAGTACTAGTTTATAGTAAAAAGAGAAAGACGGAAAATGTTTTAGAAAATTTATTAGTTTGTTAATTTTTATACCTTGCATTTGACTTCTCTTACCAATAGTATTGTATCAAACACAAAGTAAACACTAATATGAAAGAAAAGTTTTTCTTCAGATGTCTGAGTGCGCCGAGTTCAAATATGTTATTGTATATATATATAGCCAGATGATGCCCAGATGATTCTTAACACAAAATATGATATATATAGTTTAAAATTATAGCTTTGCTTCAGGGAAAACAGTAATCAAGTATTTAAACTGTGCATCAAGCATCTAAACTGTGTCTTTTTTTAATTTCCTCGGCAGAAGAACCATGAAGCCATATTAAATGGCTAAAAAAGTCCATGGTTTTTTGAACCATAGTTTTCTGAACATTTTAATAGACTGTCTATTAAAGTGTTCAGAAAACCATGTTAAATGACTAAAAAAAGTCAATTAATAGACTTAAATGTTTTTTTGTCGATTTGTTTCATTTTGGAAAATTATTCTTATACTTACATTGCAAATATTGAGCTACGTTGATTACGTTGTAGAAAAAGTTCTGATCGAAAAATTTCTGTGGATCATTTGGTATGACAGGTGTATCCGAATTTTTAAGTGGTGTCTTATGAATAACTCTTCCAGATTCACTTTTCCGATTTCCATATCTGACTGATGAACGAAATGAAAAGGGTGTATATCCTTCTGAGGTGCTGACTGTCTGAATAATCAAGAGCAGCACAAGCACCAATCGCTCCAGCATCCTAAAATAAGACAGAAAAGAATACATACTATCATTCTTTATTTCAATTCAGGTTATAATAATATAAATTAAGGCATTTATTAATTATTTTTCTACTTGTGGTGCTTGCAAGCAAAAAAAGATAAATTAAATTCCCTTTTTTAGTGCTTGAAAATGTTTATGGATTTTCACTAACATCATGGTAATTCTGATTTTCTGTTCCTTGCATTTTTTATAACGTTTTTGTATTTTAGAGAGATTTTTCGGGGAATTTTGGCGTTAATAGATTGGTATTACAAGCAAACTACAAATCTTTTCTTTCTTTGTTTTTTAAATTTTCTGATATCGAAATTTTTTTTTTGTGAAAAGGAAAAAAAAACTAGTGCTCCAATCACAAGCATTATATTTAAGAAAACATTAAACATAAGAAATATAAAAAACGTAAGAAATAAGTTTCTTTAAATTTACTTTTGATTCAAACAAAAAAATAATTATAAGATTTTTTTTCTTTCCAAAAATAAATATTTGAAGAGGGTTAAATTATCTGGAACTTTTTATTTAATAATATATTTCTACTTTTTGAGACAAATGAAAGAAAACATTTAAAGCTTTCCGGTTTGATAAAATTAAAAAGTTGTTTTGAATTTAAAAAAATAAGTGATAGAGGCTGATAAATACTATAGATGATACATCTTTTTGAAAGCATCAGGTTGTTTTCGATGTACATGTATTTGATAGCCACAAACACAATGTAAACGAAAGCACATCGTAGAGGGGAATTAATTTGCATTTGAAATTTTGTAATAATATTTTTAGTGTTTTTGGAACTGGATATGAGATTTTTATGAGGGTTTAGATTCGAAACTGTTTTCCAATATTGGACGATCTAGAATTACAAGCTTTTAACATTGCGTGTATGTTTAAAATTTTATTTTGTATTATGAACTTTATTTAATATTTAAATATTTTGGTTTCCTACAGAAATAAATTTAAATGTTGTGTACTATAATATATTTATAAAATTTTGAAATTTTCTTTTTGTCACTAACGTCGTATGTTGAGCTCTCAACAAAATAACTGCAGAACATTATAAAATTCAATGTGAAATTTAATCACATGTTAAATCGTTAGATTTAATTTAAATTCGTTTGATAAATGATTTGAATAAGAAAACAATGTTTCAAAAATGTAGTAAATGTTAAAAAATGCAGTAATAAGAAATGCAGTAACTTCAAATATGCAGTTATGAGTGACTTTCGATTGCAGTAATGCATATCCACCCCCATAATACATGTAAGCTCAGATATATAATGATTTCATTATATTTGAAACATTTGTCAGCTCAAAAATGGTTCGGAATGTATTACTGAAGCATTTGTTTACTCTTTAAAATGAAGAAATGCAACTCTGTTAGTATCTTACATTGAATTTAATGAAATACCTTATAAGTATTTCAGAAACGTTTAAAATGGTATGAAGGAGTGATATAAAATACTTTTCTTTAAAAATTATATTAGACATAAGATTAATTTAAACAATATAACGCAAACCAGATTAAATGATAAGTGTAAGTTATAGAGTTAACCAAAATTCAGTTCGTAATTGACTAATAAAGGCATAGCTTCATGGTCTTTTCTCTGGTCTCTGGGATTAGAATTGAAGGAGTGAAAAAAATCCTGCTTATTCCCAGGTATAAACTGTTTTTCTGGAAAGAAATTTTGAAATTTGAATTTTCAATGTGCTATTACTGCTTAAATTTGTTTTATTTCCTAGATAGAATAAAATTCAATTTAGCTATATAAAATAGTAGGATATCAGTATTTTATGAATTAAAACTATAAATTTTCTAGTTAAACATTGAAGTACTAATGAAAATAAATATTGATTCAAAAATGTTGATTTCATACAAGATAATAAATGTGAAATCTAGTTTTTTTAAAAAACAAAAAACAAAAATTGGAATTCAATGTTAAATACGTTTAAATATCTTATATTTTTATTAGTGCATATAAGCACACGACACCATCTGTGGAATGAAATTAAAATATGAAAGTGACTACATATTTTGTCACTTATTTACGTAAAAAGAAAAAAAAACTAATAATTTTTAAGACGAAAAAATACGCCGATTTTTCTTTATTTATGTAATACATTTCAATTAGGTTTTTTTAATGGATATAATTCAGTTGAATGTTTTTTATTAACGAAAAGCTTTTTACAGTATTAGTTACTTATTCAGTTTTTTTTTCTACATATTGTATATTTTTGCCATAGATTATATGTTTTTGCTATATATATTCCACTTCTCGTGAACTTTCTTATACAAAATATTTAAAAAATTGAGAAATTTTAAAAAAACAATATTAAAAAGAAACTGGGTTTTAATACTCGGCATTTAAAAATGTTACTTTAATTAATACATTCGTATAACAGATGTATGTCAGAAAAATTAAACATTTATGCTACCATAATTGCCAAGAAAATAAAGAAATACTATTCAAAATAATGTAAATAAGTTGATTATCCTTTTGTAGTTATGGTGCTCAAAATAATTTTGCAGACTTAGCATTTGGTAAAACGCTTTGAAAAATAACTATAAGTCTTTTGGTAGCTTTTTTAATATTTTACGATTTCTTAATATGAAACTTTAAAGAATTTCAGCTTCTCTCTCTTTATTTTAATATCAAAAACTATTTTGACTGATATTTTACAAAAAATATATATTTTTTTATAAAATAACAAGTTTTCTTTAAAAATAAAGGTATGAAGTTAAAAAATAATTAAACTGTAATTGACTTTTAATGAAGAATTGTATGTTTTTAGGTGAAGTATTAGGGAAAAATCCAATAAAAATTATTGCTATTAAAATGATGAATAATAAACAGTTTGTATGCTTACTGTAAAAAAAGAGTCTCTCAAAAATTTGATTAAAATGTAAAAAAATTGCTATGAAACAATTAATAGTTGATTTTTGAAAAACTTCCTGTATTCGAAATTGAACCCCATCTCCCAAACCCATATTTTCATTGGTTATATAAATCCTGATATGTTTTCGAGGAAAAATTTTTTTTTTCAATTCATAAATGGAGTAGTTTGTGATTTGAATTTAAGGGATTAAGGATTTGTATAATAATAATATGAAGAGGAAGAAGAAAAGAAAGAGGAAAAATAAGACAAAGAAGAAATTTTCTCTATCAAAATTTATATTTACTTAAACTGAAATATAACGATTTTTTAAAAGGCTTGTATTAATACTAAACGGTATTGTTCCTTCTTAGAAATAAAATTATGAATATTGTGATACCATCTTCCATGTATGTGAATTATGTTAGCAAAACACTTGTCATATTTGAACTTGATTTCCGTTGTTTAATTTCATTGTTAAACTATTTATTTCAAATAAAAAAAACAGAGAAAGAAATTTAAAAGTGAAACTAAACAAGAGAGGAAAAATTTTTCAATAGCCCTTATATTCTAGAAACATAATGTTACTTGAGTTATGTTTCATATATTTTCTTTATATAATTTAAAATTTATTAATCGCAATAAATTTTTTTCTTTGTAAGATATGATATGGAAAACTATTTCTACATTATTTTTCAAGTATTTACGAGAAAAATTATTTTCTGTATTTAGCTGTATTATTTTTACTATAAAGCACATAATACAAATAAAATTTATGATGAGTAGCATGTTTGAAAGAAGACTTCATTTTTTAAGAAAATGGATCTTTAAGATAAAATAAAACTCTAGAATCAAGTGTACTTGAATTAACGAATAAAGCTAATTTAATTTTCATCATAAAGCTAATTTAATTTTCATTTAATTTAATTTTCATAGATGTAAGGAAAGTAAAAAAAAAAAATTGCGGATTTAGGCGTATTTATTTACTTCTATTTCTATTAAACTATTTATTTTATTTTATTTGATTTTATTGCTTTTTAGCGAAATAAAAATTAATTATTATTTAAAGATTTTAATAATAATAACGTTAAAATAAAAATTTTAGGACTAAGATGAAGATTTTAATTATAATAATTTAATAATTATAAAGATTTATAAATTATTATTATTTTAAGAAACTAAAAAAACAAATTATGAGATTTTATTTATTCAGAAATAATTTATTTTTCTTTATTATGTAAAATATTTGCAAAAGTTCGAAATATATTACTTGAAACACGTAATTAAAACAAAGGAAAATTTCACAATGCAAATATATTTTGATAACACAATAATTAAAATTTGTAGAATTCTTAGCCTGCTGAAATTATCTTTGTAACATATTGTTTACTATTTTAAAAGTATGAAATTTTTTAAAATATATCCTTAAGTAGTATACGTTGCGATGAAAATTTAAAATTAATAATTAACAAGAAAGTTTCGAAATTAATTACTAAGGCATGTATGTGCAAATAGTAGGCAGTTAATATATATAATTCTAATATCATGTTACACTTACGCGTCTAAAAAATATTCGCAATTCATATATTAATTTACAGAAACATATAACTAAATTATTTGATTTTTTTGTTGTTTAAGTTAAATCAATTTAAAATAATAAAATATTTTTAACGAATAAAACTCTATCAAAATGAAAGCATACATACATTTTGAGTTTTAAGATTCTATTTACGAACGCCTTAAGAGAAAGGGAGGATCACGTTTCGATCATAAACGGACTCATTCACTTTCAAATAGGTCTTGCCGACCCCTTTTTTTCATTGCAACACAACAGTTCAAGAAACGGAAAGTGTCGGAAACGTGGAAGAATAAGGGGTAAACCCAATATCCGGGAAAGTAACTACATGCTTGATCCGGGTTCCAAACTTAGTGACACTAGTGACCCACAAGGAAGGGCCAGTGTGATGACTTTCTAAAAATACTTATCTATTGACTGAAGCGGAAGGAATTTTTTATCACCCGTACATTCTAATAATGAGATCCATTTCCTTAAAATCACTTAGAAAGCATAACTTAATATATTACGATATATATGTTTTCAATTTAACAAACAGAAGG